GGGTGCGGCGTGATTGCGGCGCGCGCCGGCCAGGGCGCGCCTCGCACAATATCGGAAGAGCGCCTGGGGAAATCGCCGGTCTCCGGCGCCCACAGCTCATCTGCCTGCCGCTGGGCGCGCTGCCGCTGGGAGCCCCGCCCGCGCACCCGCTCGCCAGAGGGCGCTGGGGAACGCAGGCTACAAGCAGCGCTCACGGGAGAGCACTGGGCTTACGGAAGGAAGACCGCTTCATTGATTTGATTGATTGGTGATTCCGAGCGCGGCAACTGTTAAGCTCATTGGTCCCACAAACATAGTGCATGTTTTATCGAGGGAGATGGCGGTGATGTTTCTTCACGGAATGGTGAGATTCGACGCCGACCTACCCGACAGGGTTTTCCCCAACCAGGTATCTCACACTCGCAGGCTACGATGGCTACGAAATTTGTTTATCATTGTACTGAGTCTCGTAAGTGCATCACTAGTTTTTCGACCGCATACTGGTCATTTCTCCAGCTATCAATTTCCCCTCGACGCGCTTGTGATATTCAATAATTATCTCTGGCAACGGAGAATTAACATCTGTAATATCACGAACGGTTCGGACAGTATCCTTAAATCAACAAGACGCCTAGCGATGACCTGGACAATTCCAAACCAAAGAATTGTAGCAATGGTAAATTGTAAGGAGTGATTTTAACAGGGGTATCCAAATTAGAAGGCGCCTATGCCCTCAACTAAAATCATTAACGGTTGCGGGCCATACGTTCATTACTCGGACTATCCACACCTGATTCCCTAGCAATGCTGATCTCGGCAGTTTGCATGACTGAACTGTAACGTTATATGTGTGTGTGTGGGGAGGAATGGATTCATGCGTGACATCAGGCCGTAACCTCTGTATAGCATTGCGATGATTTTCAATTTCTAAATTTATTAGAAGAATAATTCCTTAAATATAAACTTTACCTATTTTGCATTAAAAGAGGGGGTGTAAGCAGGGTGCGTGCGCTAGGCACACAATGTTCTAGCCCGACATCGATAAAATGGACTTTTATTTTGACTAAATAACCTTTCGCGGGGCGCAGTAAATGGCATTGCGGGCCGCCTGTTCAACTCCCTGGTTTATAAGGTTTTTGAAAAGGATAGATAATTGCTCAAAATCTAAGTCTTGAATGAAGTATGAGGTCAATTTAGTCGGGTTATGAAAAATTGAAAAATCCATGGTCAAAAAGCTCAACGTAATACTTTCTATGCTATTGCGAGGGAATCAGCAGACTCAAAAAGGGCGCACCAAAAAAAGTTTTTCGAAAAAACATCTTGTGTTAATGGTACTGCTGGGTAATGAGCTCTCCAGGGTTTGTGAGAAAACATTAAAACATTTTCTGCTGTAGTTTCATTCTGCTATTTATGTCAAAACATTCCAAAACTTGCTTTCATGTCTAATTATAATGTTTATTGTACATGGCATTGTCCTTCGCATTTGTTCTGTTGCTATCATAGGCCAGTTTTAAGATTTCCGAATTACTCTACATCCTTCTTGTAATCTATTCTAATGTTTCATATTATTTTTTCAAAATATTTGTAAATTTTACTTTCTGGTATGCATACGTATGGAGTACTGTACGTAGTATAAAATACATTATGAAATGCTGCGGAAAATGGTTTTCGAGGTTTCACTAGAAATTTTGAGTTACTTTATTATGGTTTACATACATCATCTTGTCTGATTACTCCATATTGAGTTTGTTTTGATATACATTGTATCTTTACATAGTAATATCTTATTATACATATCTTATTATACATATCTTATTAATATTTATTTGTTACACACGAAATCAACATTTAATATAATTCCTTTACTGTACACGTAATTACACGTTTTCCAGCAATGTGTGGAAGAAAATAAAAAGAAAAAGAAGAAGAAATTAACAATTAAAATAGGTAGGAAATTAATGTGAACATCATAGATTTTTTACGAAAATAAATGGAAGGAAATGGAGGGTGCGTTTTGTGGTTAGTGACCGATGAATCTGGTAGGGAGAAAATAAAAGGAAGGAAGTGGATGAGGGAATACCCTCGTGGGCAAGACATCCTTATTCACCACAGAAATAGAAGATGGAGGTGTTAAACGCAGGTCAGGAGAGCGACCGCTTGGGCAGAGATCCTTGCTGATTGCGTGGGCGGAGGTAAATGGCAGGATATATTGATTGACAAACGGATGTGCGATTAGGCCACAGCAAGATTCACTGCCGAAACTCAACTGAGAATCGAATGCAGTAAAATGTAATGGGCTCGATTTGGTAATCACTAGAGTGATGAATTCTACTTCATATAATCTTAATGTTTCAGCTGATATCGGATATCGAAGGTGCATCTGCTTACATTCCTTGCCAGGGCTGTAATAAAGTCAACCTATTAATAATAATGGAAGTATTCTGGACCTTTGTTAATTTTGAGATAGTCTCTTGTTTGAGTTATTAATTAGGAAGATCTACAGGCTTTATTAAATAATATGACCAAACTAACGAAATAAATATGATATAAACACAATTAGTACATTTACACATTTTTAAGCACGTTTTACACCGTATTTTCTACTTAATACAAATGTCTTAATTACTTCTGAAGTATTGTCTCTAGTTGTAAGTTCCAATTAAAACATTAAATTTCTTGACATTTTCTCTGATAATTACAAAAAGTACCTCCTTATAAAATATGAACAGAAAAACTAATAAATTTAGTAGGGTCAAGTTTACTTTAAATGTGTCAATGCCCGTCGAAAACAATAATCTAATATTAATTAAGATCAATCAATAATTTTTACGCGTTGTGGAAAATATCTGGATACCAATAAAATAAATAAATGAAACGTTGTTTTGTGGAATTGTTTTTCCTATTTGGAAATATGACATCAAATTGTGCTGTGAGATTGCTGAATGATTTTCTTCAATAAATATAACTCATTATTGTAGAAATAATCAGAATTTAAAAGAATGATCGTACAAAATTAGTAAAGGATATCGTGTTTCAGTTACAGAACATGGGTGTAAAATCATTAGGCGAGATACATAAATTATTTACTGTAGCTCCATTTTATTTTGCAAATTTTCATGGAAGCTTGTTTTTATTTTAATTCAATATTTTTATTTTGTATCTTTCTAAGTTAATAGTGTTTGATTGTACAGAATTTATTGCGATTTATCAATATAACTGTGTCTCAAATCCTGTCGATCTTAACCTCGTATTACAAAATAAATGGTAAGTCGGGAGGGTTGCACAATTTTAAAAGTCTTGTTTCTTAACAGTGTCAACGTTTCGGCTACTTATTTTGCATTATTCAGGGCTGTAAATAGTTATCAAAACAAGAAGTGCTGGCAATTACACGTTATGAAGATTTACTGTAGATTTCTTTAGTATTTGTTGCAGGAGGAACAAATGTGTGTGTATTACATAATTCCAATAATGTACGTGAGCCTTCAGGTAATTGATTGTTCTTTTATTTTCTCGTGGAATGACATTGTCATAACCTGTCATTGCCAGCACTTACTATTTTGGGTATCTACTGTATATTTATAGCCCTCCAGTTGGTCAATCAAACGGTCGAAAAGTTGTCCTCTAAAACTCAGACTTTTATTTACCTACCCTCACTACTCGCCGTATATGAAGTACGTCAGTAAATCATTTTTGTTAATAGTTTCCAGTTTATTTACCCTAGTAGGCTGGTTGAGACTCCGAAAGGTAAACTGCACTTTCAGTAAGCAGTAATGTGCTGACAGAGTAACTCGTCACAATAAGAAAGATGCTGCTTTTTTTCGAAAATATGAATTAGCTAGTATTTGGTGTGCGAGTTGGAAAAGGCAAGGGTTTCACTATTTCATAAACAAGTTGTGCAAAAACGAGAAAGGAGGGAAAATTTACGTTACATTTGGATTTTATGGTTTGAATTGGAAAACACACTTCAAACAATCCTCAATGAAATTTGTTTCGAAATTACAATTTTTCTAGAGTTTTGGGGAACAACAAATCGCACATTTTGATTCGATTGTTAGGGAATCCGAAATTTGTGAAAAACATTAAACATAAAGATAATTTTTGTTGACAGTACATAATGTATTTAATATTCAGTAATGAAAAGTGATTATTTAATCACTACCAACTTCTCAGAAAGTAAAATGTCTTTCGTAGTAACAATTAGTGACTTCCGAAAGTCAGTTTTATACAAGTATGGAGTTATTCCGTAAACACTTCTTTAAAAAATAAAACGCAGTTTTCGTTTCAAAGAATTCTAAGTAGTATAATTTCCTTGTGTGGGATTTTTTCTGGGTTCATTCTTCAACAAATAATGGAGTCGTGGAAGCTTACGTGTACATTCAGCAGATAATGAAGATTGGTTGGCCTCCATAGGTAATGTTAAGAACTTTTCAGTTTCTCGAAACTTGTATCGGGAATTTGAAGGAATAAAGGGTGAGTCGGAGATGTCATTACACAAAAAGAAAAGCATGTTGTTAAGGAACACCAATTTTTATTAATATTCCCATTTTTAAATTATTAACATATGCTGCGGATATAATTTAGACGATGGTAACAAAAGGTGGTGGTGCTGGTGATGCTGGTGGCTCAAGAGCGCTTCTCAACCGTAGATGGCGGTGCGGAGGCCCAGAGGGGCGCTGTAGGCCAGAGGGGCGTGGGCGTAGGCTCCGTAGGCGCCATAAGCCAGAGGGGCGGCGGCGATGGGGGCGGCGAGGGGGGCGGCGACGGGGACACCGGCGTAGGCCACGGGGGCTCCCACCAGGCCGGGGGCGGCAACAGCGCAGGCCACGAGGGCGAGGAAGACGAACTGTGGAGCAGAACAGAAACAGTTAGCATTGTTGGAATATGGTTTGGCCTAATGTTTGGACAATAGAAGCACGATATTTTAAAGGGAAATTATGAGATAGATATTTTAAAAATCTGAGATATTATTTAATGTCTTTGTAAATAATAACGGCAACCCTTTTTTAATGCAACAAAAAGATCAAATAATACATACATTTTTATTCTAAATTATTTGACACACGTGACTTCCGTAAGAATATAAAAATTACTTCATAGTCTTTTATATAACCGTAGTGTATAAGGGGAAATAGATTACATAGAGAATACTGGAAGTCTGCGAATTTTTTGATTTCAAGTTTCCTAATCAAAGGGTTTAGTCTTAACCACGATTTAGTGGAAAAGAACAACAATTTTAAATAACCTAAAAATTGTATCCAATTTGACTGATAACTGATAGTTTGAATTATAAAGAAAGCTTAGTGCGGATGGAAATAAAAGAAGAGTGATTCTTTTATGGGAGTTCCAGCTAATACCAATGGGATTGCTAAACAGACAGCAGGGGGCTTTGTAGACCCAGAGCCTGCGGGAGATAGGTATTGTATGAGCTTGTTCACAGATTGAAACCACTTCTGATATGGGCGTTCTCTGTGTAGTCGCACGTAAATGAAATCTGCGGTCAATTCCAGTTACGTCCCGCGGTGGAACTATTTCTGGAATTAACCGTCCCGCACTGACGCTATTTGATCAATGATAGCAATCGGGAAACATCAATATTTCTCACCTATTCAGAAGGAAAAACACGCTTTCAATTCTCCACGCGGTATTACCACGTATGGAAATATTTGAGCCTAAAATGTTGGGGGTAACCGCTGCGGTTTTGGCGGCCCCGGGAATCAAATCACTTCGAAGCTTGGGCCGACCGCACTGTTAATGCACCGAAACCTCGCAATAGAGTGGTGGATCAATTCCACAACCTGTAGTTCTACCCTCCCTCCGCACCATTGCACTAGGCCTATATGACACAAAAGATAATTCTTTGGACCGATTTAATGGTACCTATTTCAAAGTTCTTGTACTACAATATTTATTTTCACCCAGGAAATCTAATCTGCGCCAAAATGGCAATTTCCAGAGATTTTTGTACAAATTGAATTTTCCGAAAAATAAATTGAAACCATCATAATAACATATTAGTTTTGTATTAACAGACATATTCGTTATTGTTCAAATACTTCAAAAAGGTAGTCTGAAATACTTTATCCTATTCCAAGCATTCTAATTGAAAAATAAGTCACAGAACCTACCTAGTTCTTCAAACTAAACTCCGAAAAAAAAGTTGAAACCATTGTAGTAACTATCAGTTTTGAATCAACAGAACTGATTCTAACTGTTCCAATATTCCTAATATCCGTAAGGTAATCCGAAAAACTTTATCCTATTCCAAGAATTCGAATTGAAAAATAAGCCACAAAATCTAGTTCTTGAAACGAACTGGCATAAAAAATTGAAAACATTGTAGTAACTTCTCAGTTATGAATTAATAGAATTGTTCTCAACTGAACTCAAATATACCCGATACCCGTAAGGTAATCCGGTAATGTGAAAAACATTATCCTATTCCAAATTTTGGAATTCTTATTCCAAAATAAGCCACAGAACCTATCTAGTTGTTGAAACAAAACGTCCCCACTACCTAAGCGCAAACTGCGCAAAGCCACGAGCAAGCTCGCACACTCACCAGCTTGAACATGGCGAAGGAGTGTTGTTGTCTGGTGCTCGGCAGAGACGACAGTGATTTCGACCGGGCCAACTGCGTTTATATAGCGAATCTGGAAGCCTTGCGTGGTCGGTGAAAGGCGTCGGCTCGGCTTGGCGCACGCGGCGTGGCGTGGCGTGGAGCGGCGCGGCGCGTAGCGGGTGGGGAGGGGCGGGGCGGGGCGGGGAGCTGTGTCCGTGCGTCGCGTACCGGGCCAAAAGACCAGGAAGGCAGAGGATGACGTATCGACTGCGAGATCAAATGGCACCGCCCACAATCTGAGGCTGGAAACATACCGGTCTACGGAGTACATCTATACACTTCCGAGTATTGTAGGTGAGCTTGTTGTACGTAAAGTGTAATAAATAGGTGATGTTTTGCAATAAATAAAAATATAGATACAAAAGTTACTATTGAAAAAAAAGATGCATGTCAGTAGAGACTATTTATTGTGAGAACCATGTGAGAGGGTTTTATGTCTAAATATGTTTTCATGTGTGTCAGTTGTTTCATTGGCCATAATTTTCTCTTTTTTTATGTTTGGAAATATTAGCACATCACGGTTCATGGAAATATGCCCTAGAATTAGATATATGCATTTTAATATCTACCTGATTTTTTATATTCAGTACTTAAACGTATAGGAATATATTAGTAATTTTCAATGAACCGTTTAACTTTGATAATTTTCAATGAAACATAAAACCATAAATTTTATAAAAATGAATATTTAATTTCGTTTTGAAATATCTTCGTTATATTGGGAATATGCTTTTTTAATTGAGATTATTTATAATTATATATATTTAATTTATGAATATATAGATTTATATATTCATGATCAAAACACTGTCATTTGTTACAAAGAGGATCCGTCGAAGGAGAGAGGAAAAGAGGAAATTAGACTTAGATTCTACTTTCTTGATATAAGACCTCTGAGAAATTGTATTGATAATATACAAATGAATGTCAATTTATAATCTGTCAGCAATTCGGATTATTTAAGTACGACCCAATAGACACGCAAATTCAACAAATGAAGCCCATACAAGTTTGCATTATTTTTATAGAAAGGACTTGTTGTGTCTTTGTAAGGACGGCCTGAACACTCTACAAAAAATTTATATGTTATTTATGTAGTCTATTTGTTTCGTCTCCAATTTTATATTTTTAGAGTGGCCTGTTAGATCGTAAGTAGAGGAAAAGGTTAAAAGTGGAGAGGAGGGAGCCAGGAGACGAACCCACTCGCATCGCTCATCTGTTTACAAAAACATTAAGACTATCGCACCGCTCGTGCTAGAGGACTTGCATATTAACTTCCTAGTGCTGTCACCCGGTTCATGGAGAAGATCATAATTCATGCGACGGCCCGAGTTTGCTTTCAGGACCGACCTCTTTTACATTCATGGACATTAGTTTCCTCCATTTTATAACTATTACTGCCATTATTATCTTTGCCTCGTTTCCGGTAAATGAAATAATCTCTTGACTCTCACCATTAAAAACTTCATTTTCAAAGTAGTAAATGTTTTCCATTTATTTGAAGTGGTCAGAACGTGTCTTCCAGTCTTCAAATATAAGTCTAGGAAATCGTCCAACGCACGATTTTTGCGACATCAAATAATTGAAATGTTTTTTTTTCTCACTCCGGTACTATTTTTAGTTCTAACCCAAATAAGTCAAGAGAGTTCAGTCGTAATGCGATAATCCTTTTGTTATATTTCACGGGAACGTTTCAAAAACAACGCGCACATAAAAATTACGCAAAGATGCCACTACACCAGTAAGGAAAGGGAACTGAACTCTTACTGAAAGCACGTTGAGAAGAATGAAATGCAAAGTCAAATGCAATGCATATATAACGACTGTTTGGTAAATTCACGAAATAGTGGGTTAATGTTCTATTATCTGAAATGGGTGAATTAAGTAGGAAATAGAATAACTTTGGAGGTCATTTCGGACTTGAGCCGAATAATGTGCACTGCCAAAACCATGTAAATATCTTAGATGAAGTACGTTTCAGTGTGATAAACGATGATCAGACTGCTCGCGGGAAGTTTCTAAAACTGTTAAGGAACAAAGCATATAATTTCCACTATCATTGTGAGAGTCGGAAATTTCACATTAACAAAATATCCCTTAAAATAACCTCATTGTGTATTTTAAGTTTCACTATGTATTTCGGACTTCGTGAAAAAAATTCGGCCATCGGCTTTGGTGATTGACATAAAACAACCTGGATAACACATGATTTTCCAACGCATTTGTATCCTCTGGCAAAGAGACAAGTCGTAGCTCTGTTGTTCAATCATTTTATTATAGTTATCTTGTCGCGCTTATCGTGAACATTAGCCCGATGATTTCCGAAACTGTCTTTTCCTCGTTAGTCAAACTGCTCTCCACACACGCAGCAATTTATGATATGGACTAGTTCAGCGGCACAACCCCCTTAACCTTGAACTTACACGCTAAAGAAATACTCCAATGCTTTTGTTCAGCGCTCTTATCCAGCGGTTTTCTTTTCCGTTGGAGGCATATTCGACACCAACAAACTTGAAGTGCCCTCTGATCTGGGGTCAGCAGAACGCGAGGTCCTCCGCGACAACACACGCATGAGAGACGGTGAAGAAACCATGCCCAAGGCGGGACTCGAACCCTCTTCCCCGGACCGAAGTGCTGAGGCGATACACGCTCTTAGCCACTTCCGCCAGCCAGGTCCTGAAAGTGAAGTCTGACTCGTAATTGCCCAGTGCGCCTGGCAGAGCGGTTGTTGTCGCGGGGCAGTGATGAGGCGCGCGAGCGCCCTGCGCGGCCGGCCCAGCCTCGCGCCGCCTTGGCCCCGGCTCTGGCCGCGCCGACCCTGACACCGC